TGTAAACTGCCAATTTTGATTTCCTCTGCCTTTAGAATTGCATGTATCCAACGTCAGGTGAATGTGGGAAGGCCACTGCTGCTAGTTAGGACGGCTTTCTACCAGGCCTCCAGTCCTAATTGCCTCCATCCAGGAGGACACTCAAATGCCCAGTTCGGCAGTTCCAAGAGCAGGTTCAAGAAGAGCAGGAAGATGAGGGTGAGGGCCAGCTGGAGCAAAGAAGCCAAAAGAGAAAGGAGGACAGGGGAGATGAATTGTTAGATTTGATTAGGGGGGGATATCAGATTGCAGAGGGAAATGGAGGAAAGAAGAGCAGGGGAAGCAAGAGAGAGAATGGACAGGTTTTCATTAGTGCAATTTTTTTGGATACTAAAAGCAGATGATTCCAGAGATGAGGTCTGTGAAAGACCTCAACCAAGAGAACTCTATAGGTTGAGTGAAACTAATAAACAACCTACTCTAGCTAGTATCGCTTCAGAAAGGTTTGCAGAAACAAGAGCAGTATAATACATCAAGCTGGGAGTACTTGCTCAACCTCGAGCACAACAAGGGAACAAGAACGTATTCACAAATTCAATTTGACAACTGAAAGTCAGCAGGGAACTGAACGGTTCCCCACCAGTGAAACAGCCAAGGTTCCTACAACCAGTGTTTCTGTAAACTGCTTTGAACATGAACGGTCTCACACCCTAAATGGATCTGAAGAGAGTGAACAAAATGTTGTCCAAGGAGGTCTTCAAAGAAACGAAGAAGAAACTATTGCTACCAGAGTTAACACAAATCTTTCAGCTCTTCATTCCTTTTTGTTATAGCTCCAGTTGTGTATGTGTGTCATGGTTCTGGGTCACTTTGACCCAGCATTTTGAGTTTTGTGCCTTTTTGTATTATGCTCTAAGTTATATAATTTTATAAAAGTAGTTTAGGATTCTGTTAGTTCTGTTTTCACTTATCGGTTTCCCTGTTTAGTTCTTATCGGTTTAGGTTCCTCCCATGTTTGTTTCCCTCACTATGTTGTCTATGTCTTGTCTTCAGTGTGTGAGTGTGTCGTTTCCCTTGTGTTTAAGTCTCCCTCGTCCTTTTTGTGTCTTAGTCATGTATTGTCTTCTTCTCCCGTGTCCTCTCGACCCCTGTGTCACGCTCGTGTTTTCACAGTTTACGTTTAGCTGTGTTCCCCATGTGTTTCCACTTCCCTCGTTACCCTTCTGTGTATTTAAGTCCTGTCTCCTTTTGTTCATTGCCAGGTCATCTGTTTTCCGTGTCTTATGTTTCAGGAGTTCATGTATCTTAAGTCCAGGTTTCTCGTTCACAATCAAATTCATGATCGGGGTGTTTTCATATTTAATCTTAGTTTACCCCAGTTTAGGTTTTTGTTTAGTTCAGCCATTGCCCTTTTTTTGTATTTTTTCTACCAGCCCTTATTAAACAGCTTGCTTTCTGTTCCACGAGTCTACTTTTGAATCCACACCCCACCTCCACAGAGTCTGCATCCGCGGACCGTGTCTCTGTGGGCCAAGGAGTAGTTTTTGTCACCAAACACACCCTTAATATCGGTCTTGCACCATTTACCTCATTTATTTCACCCACAAGTGAAGCAACTGAGGTTCCTACAACCAGTGTTTCTGCAAACAGATTCAAAAATGAACAGTCACCCACCTCAGCGGTTCAGCAAATTAAATGTGCAACCTGATCTGCATGTGTCACAGATGAGGTCAGTGGAATACCTCAACCAAGGCATTGGCATTAGCTGAGTGAAACACATTTGTTTGAGATAATTGACAGTCAAATGAACAGCCTATGAAACAACTGAGCTTTAATTAATCTGCACTCCATTATAATAGACACAACTGGGAGTGACAAAATGACAACGCTTACCTGAGAGGATGGAATTGGTCTGCCATAAATCCACAGCGTTTCAATATAATTTCCAACCATAAATTCACATTTTTTCAAACGTAAATCGACAGCGTATCAATATTTTCCCAGTCTATCATAAATCGATACATTTACAACTATAAATTCACGATATTTCAATAATTTTTTAGAGTGAACTAATCCAAAATTTTGAACTACAGCCCCACAGTATTTCAATATAATTTCCTCTAACATTATAAATCCATTGCATTTCAATGTAATTTAAAATATGTAACCACGACTTTCTAACTATAAATCTACAGCATGTTAATGTCTTGGTCAGCTATAAATCCACAGTATTGCAAAAATTTCCCTATTAAATTATTAATACAATGCCTTTAAAGCACAAAAATCAAGGTAGAGAAGAAATGGTAAGAAAGTACAGGAAAGAGCTAAGATTGTGATTAACCTCCTAAGACCTGAACTCTTTCATTGCATGCACTTTTCATTTCTCTTTGCTATTTGGGCTGATTGGGACCTGATGAATGTAAAAACAAAGAATTACCTGATTTTTTTTAACCTGATTTTTGGTTCTGAGAAAAATGAGATCCACATAAGAGGATATTAGTTTTAAATTTCGATAGAGCAGTGGCAGTATAATGTCCTCGTAAGTGGATATCAGGCCCTTGTAGAGTAAAATTTTGTATTGTGGCCTAGACAACCCAAAATGTGATGTTCACATATGCCAGGTCCCCGGAGATTAAAGACAAGTTTGCACCTTAAAGGATGTCACCCAATAACTCACGAAAAAGCTGTTGATCTCAAATCAGTGCATTTTGCAGAATGTAAAATGCAATATCAAATCAAAGCCATGCTGAATTTAAGGTGAATTTAAAAAAGAAAAAATGTTTACAGCAATATACAAGCTAAATTTATTGTGGGGAAAAACAAATTAGAAAGTCCCACTAGATGGAAAGGCTAGGGTAAGAGGCTTGGAAGAGGATGACAGAGTAAGAGAAAGAAGAGGAGAAAGAACTGTGGCATCAGTGATAAGTGTGACGGCTACCCTGGCAAAAAAAAAAAGTAAAAATCAACAAATGATTTTAAATTAAAAAACCATACAAAGAATAAAATTGCAGATTTCTATTTTGCTGCCAAAAGGTTAATGGAAAGTCCAAAGTCAACAGACAAAGGGCAATATTTCCTAATATATTTATTTCCTAAAAACATGATTTCCCAAAGGGTTTGAATGAACACCATCACAGAAAAAGTGGCCAAGATTTCTGTGCTTCATGTATGGATGCTGTACAATACTACCACAAAAAGGTAGCCATCACACAAAGCATCGAGCCTTGTCCATCTTCTGTGGATGACCACATCTCCACTGGCATTGCTGGGCAATGCCAAATACAAATGACCAAATCTGCTAACCCCACTAGAGGAAAAAGCAATGTTTGATTTCTATTTAAATTTCATATAAAACGTTTTAAGGAAAGCCTAGTTTGGTTAGAAAAGCTGGCACCTATCACACTTTGTGTATTGTGCATTTTATATTGAATTTAATTAGATGAGTACTCAGTGTAGCTTGAATTGTAAAAATGTTTAAGGACCCTTTATATAAATAAAGTGTCTAATAATAAAGTGCAAATAAAGCATGGCTTCTTGGTCAGATCTCCTTTGAAAAAGAGATACACAACCCCAGGTGTGCATGTGTGCACAGGTGTTCCAGTTAAGGAAATTTGATTTTTATAGAAACGTAAAGGATTTTGAAGGATCACTTTAAAAGGCTGCAAACCAATTTCAGGTCGCATTGGCAGTCGACTCTGTCCATAAAAAGCAAACAAACAAACAAAAAAAAAAAACAACATGCTTTTAGTGCAGCTGCTTTTCAAAGTTGCAGGAAGATGGTAGTAAGCAAATGTTTCCAATTGGCCAAAAACAGCATTTTCAGTGCTCTTTGTGCTTACAGTTACACATTGAGGGCATTTTCACCAAATGTTCTTCTTTAGATTTTAAATCGCTCTTTTGGCTTTGTGGATGTTTCCTAATAAAAAAAGACAGTTGCATTAAATGGTTTATCATCTGTATTCTTTGCATTTAAAATAGGTGTTTACAGTTTTCTTTTCAGTATTAGACCTGCTAGTTTTGCCCAAGTATAAAGTTCTCAAGAACAGTATGTGCAACTGTATAATTACTTCCTGCAGATAATCAATCTGTCTCTTAGACCCCATTCCTACAAGACTGCTTAAAAACATCTTACCATTAATTAATGCTTCTGTCTTGAATATGAGGATGCTGTCTTCATTAACGACCTCTGTACCACAGGCTTTTATTATGGCAGTAATTAAACTTTACTTGACTACGCTGTCTTCTGTAATTTTATGTTAAAAATTCTTAAGTAGTTGTAAAACAGTTAACCAATTATCTGCAGAGGAATGGTATATTTGAAGAGTTCAGTCAGGTTTCAGAACTCGTCACAGTACAGAAACAGAACTAGTGAGGGTTAGTAATATTACTTATGGCCTCTGACAGTGGACTCAACGTTGTCAATGTGTCAAATGTGTATTCCTGTTTTATTTCGCTGTTTTTGGTTTTGTTGTCTCGTTAGTCAGGTTCTGTTCAGCTGTGTTCCCTGATGTTTCCCATCTCCCTAATTACCCAGTGTTTAAAAATTGTCTTCCTTTGGTTTTTGTAACATTGTCCGTATGTTTTCCCTAAAGAACACAAATAGAATTAAATTGAAATTCAACTGAGTGGCACTCTGTTCTTTGTTTGCTTACTTGCTGTGGAAAAAAGCAAGCAGACTGTTCAGATTTTGTTTGAAAACTGAACTTATATTCATCGCAGGCTACTTGCTCATGGTGCATCAGTGACTTTATTTTGAGCTTGATTGTAACAGTTAACAAGTAGCCACTACAAAATCAATGGGATTTACATAAAGGATCCATTCAGGTCTGAGGAATTCCTGCAGCATGCCAGTACTTCTGTTATATCGCTGGGTATGAAACAGAGTTAAATTCTATAAACATAATAGGAAAACATATCATCATCATATTCAGTTTCTTTCACCAGCAAACGTATGTTTTACTTATATACTCACCAGCAACTTTGTTAGGTACATTTGTTCTTCTGCTCGGTAACACAATCGTTTAATCAGCCAATCACAGCGCATCAACTCAGTGCATTTAGGCATGGTGTAGATCAGCGGTCCCCAACCCCCAGGCCATGGACCGATAGTGGTCCATGAGTTGTTTGGTACGGGGCCATGAGACTTGAGGCTCGGGTGTGAAATTTATGGTTTTCTGGGTTTTTATCTTTATTTTTTTATCGTTAACTCGGTTTCCCTGGGTCTTTTCTCGTGTGTTATGAATAAATCTTCTTCTTTTTTGGTACTGGTACTGGTTTTATTTTGTTATATTTATCCGCGACCACTTAAAGGCCGGTCCGTGAAAATATTGTCCAACATAAACCGTCCTGGTTGGGGACCGCTGGTGAACATGACCTGCTGAAGTTCAAACTGAGCGACACTAACAAAGTGCCTGCTGAGTGTAGCGTAAAATGTCTCAGAGCTGATCACTCAATATCTGGAAGGGAAGGCTTTTCACAAAATTACTTTCTGCAACAGTGGCATCCAATTACAGTACCACACTTAAATTCAGTGATCCTAGAGGCATGGTCCAATACTATTGTCCATATAGTGTTGCATACAGTTACTATGGTGGATGCTCATGTTAAACAAGGCCATGGTTTCAAATGATCCAAGCGATAATATCTATGCGTCTGAAGTTCAGGCTTTAACCCACTAAACACTGACAGTTTTTTCTACCCTTGGCTCTGTATGATGTATTAATATTGTCATCTCAGGCACAGATCTGTTGTGAGGACATCTACGAACCAGAAGAAAGTTGTCATAAAGGAGAGGGAAAGGAAAATTATTTAAAACTGTGAATCATGAACAGCTGCTCTAGCAGATTCCAAGAATAAAAATATGGAGTTGTTTAATATAAGCAGGGAATCTAGAGGATACACGGCTGCCCGTGGAAACACAAATAAATAAGGTTAAGTTTTGGATATTATAATATTAATTATGCTATTATTCCTTACTCTAACCTATGAACAACTAAAAAAAAGTGATAAAGGTACAGTGTCCCAGGATAATTGTGAACTGTCCGGTTTTTAGGGAAACATTTCATATTTCTGTGCCAAATAAATTTAGTACAGAAAGTAAGGACATTTGTTTGGTTGATGCTTTGAACAATGCTTCTTGGCAACAAATCTTATGCAGCTGAAAAGCCTGTTTATTCTCCCTTAAATGGTGCTACATTTGTAAGAAAATGTATTTGTAGGTTGAGCAGTCTGTGGGTTGCGCCCATGAAAAAAATTGCCAAATCTTCTCTACCAATTATTTTGCTATTGAATCTACAAATGCAATTGTTACAAAAAAATTAAAAAGAAAAAAGAAGAAAAATCAACCAACCACAAATGTCCTTACTTTTTGTGCTATTTTTTACATCGGAATAAACATACAGGTTCAAAGGAACTCGTGCATCGCATATTCACAGCATGTATTAGAAAAGATCGGCTTTCTTCTTCATGTCATTACGTTTCCAAAGTGGAAGTCTGTCAAATTCTTGAATATCCATTCCAAAGATCTGGAGGAATGATTCTGGGGACAGATGACGCTGCAAAAAGAAAGCAGGATGAACTAAATGTTTCTGTGCATAAAGCCGCAGAGTAATTCTGTCTGATTATTTCTTAATATAAAGCTCAAACATTACATTTAAGTGAAACATAACTATTTTTTTAAAGAAAGCCATTTAAGCCACACCTCAAGTCTTGTTCTGTCAACATCCCTGGGAAGCTTCACTCGTCCTCTGTTACTAACTGTGAGCATTTCATATGGATAGATCTTGACAAACAAATAAAAACCATTTGAGAACATTTCATTAATTAAATCTATACAACCTCATCAGGTCTTAAAATTTGGTAAATACAACTTAAGATGAAGAAAAATACATAACAAGTTACACAGTTTCATTGTTTAACACAAACTAAGCCAAAGTTCAGAAGCAGTGTGTGAAAAATAACAAGTCCACCCTTACTGCTTCCATAGAAATTTAGTGGGTAAGTATTCGCTTGTTAATTGATCATCAACAAATGTGAGCACTTGTTGCATAAAAGCAGACGTTTTGGCAGCTTGCTGGTCTGAAGCATTCAAGTGTGTTAAATGTTTAAGTTCATGGCTGTACAATTAGAAAACATCTCAGGCTTGCAAAGTTGCATCTGAACAAATCACAAGACACCTGGAACAATGTATTGGGCAGATGAAACCAAAGTGGAGATGTCTGGCAATAATGCACTGGGCCATGTTTGGAGCATTTGTTATGGAGCACTTTATATAAAATCAAATGTGAGGCCATCTGTCCAACAACTAAAGCTTGGGCAAAACTGGGTCCATGCAGCAGGACAGTGATCCCAAGCAAAACCCAAATCACAACAGAAAAAGTCATACTTTATCATTACTTTAAGTTATGTTGCTAAACATGGTGTAATGTGTCATGTTGCTGTTCAGCTGAGGTTGTATTTACATATTTTCAGGACCTGCTATGGAACCAGATGCTATATCCCTCAGCCGTAAAAGGCCGATGTGGTATTGTCATCACACCACCATGTGGGTGCTGTGAAGACCCAAGTTTGTGATTGCAATAACCCGAGAACAAACCAACTTACTTTTTTGGAATCACACCATAGGTGCATCTACTAAAACTCTCATGTGATATAAGTGTGTTAAAAGACAAATTATATAATAAAATAAAATATAATACTTGCATTTGGTTCCAACAAATTAGGCATAGACACTCCTCTCTCCATTTGTGTTAATGGGTACTGATGGTCATAGATGAGCTACAAAATGAAGCAAACACATGCAATTGGAAAATATCATGACCTGATTGAAGACTTGCTGATTATTTCCAGATAAATGCGAGTAAAGCTGAATATGTGCATGATTAAAAAGCCGGTTATGTAGAAATATGAGTTAATAAAGATATATTCACACAATGAGTTAGGCCAGTTCTTCAAAAAAATATGCCACAAACCAAACAGGGAACCAGGACTGACTCGAATACCAACTCCATTCAGTTACTGTCACATACCCTGAAGTCTGAAAGAGAGAGAGTAAATCCCAACAAAGTGTAATTAATTTCATTTTAATGGTAGTTAAAATAGTAATTAACCACATCTGTCTACATGGATACCTCTGCATCTGTCGTCATGGTAGTGGGAGAAATCAGCTGGCCGTGGCTTAGAAAACACATGAAAACAAAATTTTCACAATATTAATATAATAACCTTTTCTAAAGTGTTTATTTAGCGCCTACATATATCAAATAGAAAAGCATTAAAAATAAATAAACTGTATTTATATATATATATATATATATATATATATGTACAAAATTAAATGTTTGTTTGTAGATGTGTCTGATTTAATTTGACTTAAAAACAAAGCTTAATCAAAGTGTGTATCTAATTAATTCAGCAATTAGACGAATGTCATGTACCAGGCTTATGCAATCTTTCCAAAGTGAGATTTAAGCATTAGTAACGCGTGTCCTACCGGGCTGAGGCTGTTCCGACCGGGCAAAGAGGATGCTGGGGATGTCGAGGAATTTGGATCTGTGTGAAAGCAGACAGATAAGCTCATCACGAGACGATTTACACTCAGACTGGGATCTTTGCCCGAAATAGACCTACTGAGAAAAATTTACCTTCTCCGGTTCTTAGCTCAGCCATTTACTACTAACTATACTGCAAAACTGACTTTAAAATATCTTGTAGTGACTTGAGGTAAAGTTTTATCAAGATCTTAAGGTTTTGATAAAAAGTCGTTTCTTTAGCTTAACTTACAAAGATACAAATGCATACTTTTAAACAACACAACTGAAACTTAAATGTAATTTTGAGTGATTCAAGCATAACTTATACCAGGTTTAAATACTGTACCTTGCTGTTTATAAATCGGGGCCCTCCTGTACACATTGAAGCTTTCGTCTGCTGTCAGAAAAGAATGCAGTATTATCAGATGCTTCATTTTTTCACTACTGCACAGTGGAAACATTAGATATGTTTCTGGAAGGTGGCTGTCAAACTATTCCACTTTTATTCTCAGTGTTTTAAACAGTTAGTATTAACACTAGCTTCTTGCTTGAAATTGAAAACATCAACCTTCAAAATCAGGAAGCATTTGAAGCAATGAAAAATGCAAAAATGGTTTCCTTAAGGCAGTTAGTTTGTAATCTACCACAACAAAAACACAGACCAGTGATGACTGATCAAAGCTCTGCAGATCTCGTTCGCACACGATAAACTTCACTCAAAGGCACAACGCTGCTATAAATAACCACAGCTGCACAGGAAGTTGTGTGTGAAGTTGTAAAGAGACTGAAATATTTATTTATCGAATCAATCAAAGCCATTTTAAAATAATTAAACCAGGCAGAATTTAAGTTCTGAATTTTGACCACTAGGTGGCACAGTGTTTCAAAGAATAAAGTGAACCATGCGTGCTAGTTCCAAATAGTTTGTTGGTATTATTTTTGTGTTTCAGACTTCATCCAAATGAAATCCAGTGCTGCGTTCACCATTAAATAATTTGGGTTAATAAGGAATGCAAAATGCAATTTAACACACTAATAGAGGAGAAGACTTAAAGAGGGTGGCACAGAAGCAGGGGTCTTACCTTTGCTTTGAGAGGGAAAGGTGTGATATAAAAGAGAAGGAGGGGAAGTGCCAGTGTTGCCACAGAATAAAGAGGAAGAAAGCGGGAACCCTTTGGATTTCGGGAAGTGCAGACAGAAGGAGTTGTGGTGGTAAAACAGAGAACAGCTGAACATGGGATGCGTTTCATATCTTTAAACAAGAGTGTTGGTATGCTTCTTTTGTGTTATCTCACCTGGTCGGTGGAAGTGTTGTGGTGATCTGGACGAAGTTGGAGTGTAGCTATGGCGATGGTACATTGTATGAAGTCCGAAAGGCCCTTGGCTTTTAGATTTGGGTACACGTGTTCTTATTTCAAAACTCTCCTGAGAAGAGGAAAACAAAGCCAGCTGAAACTCCACGTGAAAATAAATCGATTTAAAGGGAAGACTGGCTCACACTGTATGATAACAGATTTCATGGTATTTCTGTGCGTCTGTTGTAAGTAAAGTTAATAAAAGTGTGTTTTACCTCTGTGGGTTCAGTTTTGATTTCTGGTGACTAAATCAGACAAAGAAAAGAAGCAAAATCAGCACATTCACTGAATCGCGTAGTTAATTCGAAGGTAACACAACATATGGGTGATTCCATCCCAAATTAGAAAGTTTATACGTTTTCTCCATGTGTTTTATCTTCATTTGTCAGTCTTAGAGGCAATGTTTGACAATGAAAATCTAAAAAACTCTAAAAAAAAAAAATCAAATCCTGAATCCCTTTTAAAATGACTCAGGATCTGTAATTTGGGACAGATACATCTCAAAATATCTGAGTATTGGTTTATTAAAATACGATTTTTTTCATTTTTAGACTAAGAATTTCATGTTAACAAGTAATCTATGTTTTATTTTTGAATGACTATGAAATCTGAATGTTTAGAAATACTCACTAATTGTCTTTTGCAATGTCAAGGTTGTTTATTTTAACTAGTGCACACTCTCAAATATGGGACTTGACAGGGCTTCTTCAATTGTTTTCATATTTTAATTAGTCCGTATGAAGACATTTTTCGATGTATATGTCCCAACTACAGATTCTGGTTCATTGTGATGGCAAGTGAGACCAGTGAAAATTTGAGGCTTGTATCTTTAATAGCTTTCAAGAGATTCATGTTCAAACATTGACTCAGATTTCAATGTGAGATAAACACATGAAAGTGGATTGATGGACCATTTCAATGTAAAAATTTAAACTTGAAGCACTCTTGCTTCAAAGCACACTCTAAGGGACAATTCACAAAAATATACATGGTTTTTCCTCTGGTCTGTGGCGCTATTTATCCATCTCGACTGTTCTGATGTTAGCTGCCAAGTTTTGGCTTCTTTTGAATACGACTGAACTAAATGGCAAGCACCAAAAAACATGTTGGAAAGCCTCAGCATCGTTGCTTCCACTGATCTAATTTTAAGCAGTTTAATGTAGGAACTCTGACTCCACCTACCAAACTAAAGGAAGCATGCAGTTACCTCACATTACAGCTAAGCTCAGAGAGACGTCATTACTGCTGCCACTGTCATGAGCATCCACCTCCCTGCACAGCATGCTTCCTTCAAGACAGTGAAACAGACTAAATAGATAAATAGCTCCACATTCCACAATAATGACATGCATGTTTCATTTTAGGATGATCTGTCCCTCTAAAGAATTGTTTTTACAATAGATGTTTTTATTTTCTTGGCCAAATACAACTAAACACAAGAATGAGGAAAAACAAGACTTTACTTGGTTAGACTCCTAAATAAAATAAACACACAAACATGTCACTCGACACAAGTTGGAGCGTTGGATGAAATTACCTCTGCAGGACTTTTTTGGACTCTTTGGCTGTGTTGTGTGTTTCCTTTCTCATCCAAAGTAGAGGGGTGGTCATTCACAGACTTATAAGATATCATATCAGGATACTCAATATCATATATAGCCTTGACTCTGGGAATTGCTGCTAAGTCTCTGTAATCAATGATCTCATTATCTACTTTGGCCTGGGAGCAGGACAGGGAGGAAAGGAGAGGAGAGGACGCACAAGGAGCAGACACAACAGATTAGGTCCTATGAAAGGTCAAAGGTGTCTTATTACATCATTTCAGGGAGGAATTAAACTTTAATCCCGTGATTTAGGCACATGAGGTGAGCGGATTCCATTAGTCTAGAATAAAATCCAATGTTTTTGTTTTAACATGCAAAATGATTTCCAGGCTTTTGTGCATAGCAGAGGTAGTTTTCTTATATTCTGAAGTGTTTTGGTGGGAGTAAAGTTTATTTCATTTCTGTGGGTGATAAAAAAAAATGGGTGGAGGAAACGAATTACACCGAAAGCACCAGTTTTTGTGATCAAAGTCGGTCTGAATGCATTTGAACCCTGACTTTCTCAGTAAATTTATGGATGCATTGACATTCTTTATCATTCAGCCACAACTAAAATCACATTTTGCCTAACAAGCACCAAGAAACTAGTTCCAATCAGTCAAGGTACCACTTGTTGAAAGCTGTTACTGATTTTAATGTTCTATTTCCCTAAGTGTTCCTCCACATTTCACATCAATATGAATTTTTTTGCAAGGGGGAAACTCCGTCCGTGCGACTCCCCTGTATAAATAAAGGATAGGTCAAACACAGATCAACCCACGGTGAATCACGCACCATAGACGCAAATGCTGGCCTGTTAACTTACACAGATGGCTCGACCTGGGCTGCCAGGAGTGCATGAGCCCGGCCTGGAACAGGAGCTTTCAGATGATGATCTAGTTTGCTGAGAATGGGAGAGAAAAAAAATCAAGCAACAGAAAGAGCTACCTTGGAAACAGTACTCTTTTTTTGCTGTCGATTGTGGCCTTTCACATGGCTTTACATCCACGCACACACAAGCGTTATTTTCAGGAATGCAATCCATGGCACACTCAGTGTACAATAGAGGCACAATACAATAACTAAGTAATGTGATTATTTAAGAGATTTCCAGCCAATTTTAATGTGGTTGATAGCAAAAAAAAAAGTGTGAAGGTGAGCATGCAACACTGCCAACAAAGTTCATTCAGAAGCAGTAGCTTATTAAAGGTCCTTCTAATCATTGTGCAATGTAAAAAATCGAATGTAGACTGTGAATCAAATGAAACAAGCTCTGATTTGACCAGCCAGGTGAGCAAAGTGTCTGTCATATTGAATTGTGAAACAAGCACGTGTGGTTAATCTCGAATCACGAGATCGCAGCCTGCTCACTGCAAACCGCAGACCTGCTCGCAGTATTAACCTTCAGTTCATGTTGAGGGAAAAAGAAATCAAGACAGGGCGTTTTAGGTCTCCCGACCTGGGGAGGAATACATCTCGTAAAGAAATCACCTTGTACAGCTGCAGTAAGTCTTTGCTCTGTGAGTTTGTAAAATCACTTATATTTGTTTTAGAAAATGATAGTAAGAATCCTCAAACTGCCTCTAACATGTTTAACAATGAGTAAAAAAAAACCTTACCCTGTAGCTGTCCTCCATTCTGCTGGTTTCTCTGCAATCTGGGTGCCAAATTACTGATCCTGTGAAAGAAGAGACAATTGATTTTTGCAACTTTTACCAAAATGAGAAGACTTTTACCGTTTTTAACCAACAGGACCGTTCTTATGCATTCATCAATGACCAAAAATGCTTCTTGGTCTCGAATAGACAGGCCGTTTATTTAAAGAGAGGCTACGATCTCAAACTGACCTTGCACATACATTTCTTCTCCTTCTGTGAACATCCTGTCGCATTGGCTGCATCTTGCACAGCTGGGGTGATAATGTCTGTCCCCAGCCTAAGTCAGATAATGAGGAAGACAAAAGTGGCTCACAGACTGCGTATGTGCAGGAGCTGCATGAAATGAACAGCTGCAGAAATCACATTGCAGTTCACCAGGTTACGTCTGCCCAGCAGTGTAGTTGGACCGCTGACTAAATGAGGTGTTAACAGCCTAGAGTGTGGTCGTTAGCATGGGAGGACACTTGTTAGGAGTGGGAAATGATAATAGCCATTAAATAGACAGATAACATTCAAAACAGGTGATTAGACCTTTTTAGGAACAGAAGAAGTGGCGGCACACGCGACGCTCCAGGGAAAGAAGTTGCATGAACACTCAGCAAAATTAAAGACAGGCAGCTACGGACTACAAAGAGGAATTTAACAGATTTAAATCTCTGAAGGGCTTCTGAGACTAATGTTTGTAATAAAATGTACTGCAACAGAAAAAGAAACAAAGACTCTTCGCTGAAAGCCGACCTCTCTTACCTCTAAGAGTTTTCCAGTTATAAACTTCTGACATGCTTCACATTTTACCCCAAACTGAATCTGGTAGTCTCTCTCACAGTAGGGAACTCCATCCCTGAAAGATGCACATGACATACTCTTACCCAGCAGTACATGTGGAACTTTTATATCATCATTTTAGCAGCATTCATCATATCATACTCAATTTAGAAATAAAAGATTAAGGAAGAGGAAGACGAAGCATATTGAATGAGTGAGTACATGAATGAGACATTTATATTTACTTGCTGATATATTCTCCGCTCAACGCTTTCCTGCAGGTTTTACACTTGAAGCAGCCTAGGTGCCACTGGCCTCCGAGGGCTAATAGAGCCTGTCCATTCTTGATGTCTCTCCCACAGCCAGTGCAGTCTGAAAACACAACATATACGTTTATACTCAGTGGTCACTTTAGAAGACAGCTGCTCAACTTATTAGACATGCTCAGCTCAGGAAACACATCAGAGCTCTTATCATTTCACCTGGTTTCTTGAACATGGACAGTAAGTTCACTGTAGTAAAATGACCACAGTCGCTGGCTCTCAATCCAATAGAGCACCTTTGGGATGGAACTGGAAATTCAGATCATGGCTGTGCAGTCTATAAATCTGCAGCAACTGTGTGATGCTCTCATGTCAATACGGACCAACATCTCTGAGGAAAGTTTCCAGCAGCTTGATGAATCTCTGCCATGAGAAAAGCACCTTTCCGCACACTCCTGCGGAGAGATCCTCTTAGTCCAGAGGCTTTGTGAGTCCAAATCCCCTATTTATCCCCCATTTATCTATAATCAGTACACAGATGAGGTCAAGCAGAGGTAAAGAGTTAAGTTTTACTGTATCTCTTGCTTCATACTGGCAGGTTCACAATTGGATGACTGGATTCATGAAGGAAAGTCAACTTAAAGGGTTGTAAAGAAATCCACAACAGCTGCAGGCGGGTATTAGACTGGATTTAGTGACACTGTGTAGCCGTCATCGTGATAAGAAAGGTGACATTACCCAGACACAGAAAAGGCTTACAATTGATGATTGATTTCTTTCCCCCTCTTACATGCAGATTTCATGAATGATCCCAAATACTTTTGTTATCCAATTCGTTCTACACAAGCACAGGAGAGTCTGATGTGCTACCTGCAAAAAAGTGAAGACTTAAACTTCCTGTTTGCTAACAGATGTTGACCTTGAATGACTCTTGAAGACAGGATAGACTAAATACACAAGCAGCTGGCAGAAGACCCACAGCTGGCCAGTGTTCAATGTATAATCCACTGTCTTATTAAAACTACAAGGGATCAAAACCTTTGATATATTTTTAAAATATTTTGATATGAACACTGCTTAGAGAGTATGCAGGAATGCTCTTACTGCTGGAATAGCTGGTGGCGTTTGGAGACGGCGACACAGGTTCCATACAGCGCTGACAGAGGCAGTCTCTTCCAATGAAGGTGACACAATTCCCAGCAGGAAAAGGCTGTCTGAGAATCAAAGTAAGAGACACACTTATACCACAGATTTGTAAGACATGTATGTAGAACTAAAACCTCCCAAACATCTTTTTTAAGATTACTTGCAAATGGCGCAAACAAAGCAGGCTGGGTGGTAGGTCTTCCCCAACACCGTAACCACCTCTCCCTCCACAAATTCTCCACAGCTGTTGCAAGCTGTGCCATGACGTCGCTGGAAGTCCAGCGGGCAGAGGTAGTCCCCATTCCTCATGAAGAAGCCACTCTGAGCTAAATCACAGCCACACACTGCACAGAGACACATTCAGAGAAAGATCTGATCAATATTACAATGTTTTATATCAAGACTGTTACAAGTTAGTGATGTAAAAGCTAGTGATAACACCAAAGAGGATTATTACCAGCTCTATTTAGAGCCTTTGCCTGACCCATTTATCTTTAAGTCATTGCAGACATCTTTTTCATCAAAACCTATCAAACCTTTGACCCCAAAGTGGCCACTTTAAGTTGGTCTAAAAAGTAATATTCTTACTTTTCCCTTTGTCTTTGTGCGTTTGTTTACTCTGTTGCCCTTTAGTTTAGTTTTCAGACCACAGCTAACGTAAAGTGTCGCCTTCACTCTGGATGTTGTCACAGTAGGAAGTTAATAAAGCATCGGCTATTTCTGCTCCCTGACCCTCTGATTTTTAAGGCTTCCTGAAACATTTCTCTGGTTTTGTGCATTACGCACAATGTAAACATCTGTCTACATTGTGCGTGTGTACTGATCAGCTTCGTGTCAGTTTACAGGCGATATATAGAGTTGTCTGTCTGCTTGTTATTAGTTATTTGATACTACAGCATCCAACCTGTCCTGCTGCGCCTGCCACAACAGAATGCACACAATGCCAAGGACAGATTTGTGCTGCTCTATTCCTGTCCGCCTGCTACTCTCTAACAATGTAAACAAGTTCCAAATTATGCTATTTTGAATTCAACCATCTTTGAACATGTCCCTGCTTCCATGTTCAAAGCAGGAGATTTTTTTTAATCAATAGAAACTTTGTGCAAATTTCTTTAAATTTGCACAAAAATAATAACAGTCCTCCACAAAATATCAACAGCCCTAATTCACTGCCTTTTAACAAGGATATTATATTTTACTGGCACCAAGTTGGCGAAAGCTTAACACTGTTCTTAGCCACATAAACAGCTGAAAAATAAATCACACATCTTATACAATCAAACGCTAAACACAACACATCTGATATGACACAAGATTTACTTTAACATAAATATTAACATTCATGTGAAACTACTGGGATAGCTGCTGACCAGAGTTACTACCTCTTTGGCTCACTGCAATATTTTTTCCTGACATTTGAATTTTTGTATGAGATATGTTTACGAAATGAGGTAGTGGTATGATTTTGCAAGCAACAGACTCAAAAAAGACTGACTGAAGAACAATAACAGTAACAGTGTTTGGTTACTTTACTTCAAAATGTCCTGTATTTTAACAGCAATGTGTTACAGTGTAACACTGATAGACACATTTCTGACAGTCAGACATTGATTCATTCGCCCTGCTCTCTCCGTACTGCAAGCTTCTCTTCTCTGAAAGTCTCTTTGTTTCCCCTGCGCTGTAAACATCGTCACAATGACATGAAAGGACAACAACACTAGAAGCTTGTCAGAGCTTATTAGTGGGGACAATTGCTTGCAGAGGAAGCACCGCATGTTTTCCACGAAGCAGAGTAACACCACTGATTGGCCATTTGACAACCCAGGTGGTTCTCACAATAGACTGCTGAATTACTGGCCTGTTGTCCTCAGGAAAATTGCATCACTGTCTGGTTAGACAAAGCCAGACTGAAAAGGAAATGACAATCAGGAACATTGTTATAAACAGATTCCTCTTTCAGCCTAAAACTCGAGTGCTGCGTTACCAGGACAGTAATACCAGTGCAGTGGTGTCCTTCCATCAACACTCACCTTTGCATGTAAAGCAGTTTATGTGGAAGTAGCTGCTCTGAACACGCAGCACCTCTCCTCTGCATGACTCCCCACACCTGAAGCAGCAGATTACCTTCTTCCCTGCTGGAGGGCAGGGGTGGCAGCTATCCTGGGTGTGTAGTACTACATGAACACAAGATATAAATAAATTAGTTAAGTATTGATCAGTCGATTAACTGCTATAGTTTTGCTGCTTTACACTGCTCTTTTTTGTCTATTGTATGCAACAGAGTTGTGCATTGCGGAGTCTTCCATAATTATTTGCAAACTAATATTTGCAACATCATGTTGGTAGAGGAAACTTCCACAGACACAAAAGTCTGTGAACATGTTTAGCAACATAGCATGTTCACATTTGCTAATAAGTGCTTAAGACGAGATGAGGCCAAAGGACTGGCCATTTTTTTTGCAGGTGTTTTAAAAAGTAATTGGACGAACTAAAATTTTGACCTGTTGATCCAGAATTCATCCTGTGGGGACCATGAATGTCCTCAGATAATTTAAGGCAACTTGCCCAGTACTTGTTAGGACGGTGTACACCAGTGGTTCTCAGACCACTAGTTTAAATGCTCCCATTTATGATCATATCACTTTTTCTTTTATCAACCATTAGCAACAGAACAAAACTGAGTTCAATTTTAGGGAAATAAAGAGTATCATTAAAGGACTTACTTATTTTCTCACAGGTTTCACTCTATTTTCCCACTCTATTTGTCTAGAACCAGTTGGTTAAACCTAATTCCCTGGAGCCATGCAAACCAGTGAGGTTAAAACACAAAATGTGTCGCTGTGCCCCTCATATGTACACAAATGTACACGCCCACAGTGCCATTACATGACAATCAACATTACTTCATTTTCTAATACAAGTCACTGTAAAGCAATCATCTCTGTCATCATCGTTTTTCATCCATAGGAGGAATTTATCCTGCTCTGCCTGAACAGCTCATAACGTTAATCCTGTCAGCCAGTCAGTTCAGCTTTTACATAACTGAGATAAACATACAACCCAAATCTGAAAGGTTCGGACTCTGTGTAGTATGTAAAACCTGTATTTTATTCACATTAGAACAAAGAGAAATATCAGATGTTTAAACTAAAATATTGCACTATTTCATGAAAGGTATAATATGCATTTTGAATACAATGGTAGCAACATTTTAAAAAGTTGGTACTAAAAAGAAAAGGCTGTAAGAACATTTCTCGACAAAGTATTTAACATGACTGGGTTAAAAGAGCTTCTTAGAGTGGCAGAGCTAATATTCCTCACATGAAATTGTGCACATTTTAAATATTTCATCATATACGTTGCACAGCATCATCAAAGGCTTTCAAAAATTTGGAGAAATCTCTGTGCGCACGGGACAAAGCTGGAAAGTATTTGTTTGCTCATGATCTTCAGACACTCAGGCAGCACTGCACTAAAAACAGGCATGATTTTGTTGTGGAAATCACTGCATGGGCTCAGGAACACTTCCAGAAATCACTGTGTGTAAACACAGTCCACTGTGCCATCCACAAATGTAGGCTAAAGGGTGTATTATCCAAAAGCCATTTATAAATATGATCCAAAAAGCTGCCTTCTGAGGGAAATCTAATGTAAAATGAACTGAAGCAAAGCAGAAAACTGTTTTGTGGTCTGATAGATCAAAATTTGTTCTTGGAAAAGTTCTTCTTGGAAGAACACCAAGCAGGGGACCATCCAGACGACGTCTTTTTTAGGGATGGCTTTGCATATTTCAGCAAGACAAAGTTAAACATCTATTACAACAACATGGCTTCATACCACCCTATGTGCAGTCTAGGACTGCAGGGTCTGGACTGCATTTGGCACCACATGAAACAAAAAAATACAATAAAGAAGACCCGGCACTGTTGAGCATCTAGAATCCTGTATCGGACAAGAATGGGGCAATGTTACTCCCCCACCCCCTGCCACAACTTTTGTTGTAGATATTTTGCTGCCATCAAATTCAACATGAGCTAATATTTTTCTTAAATCAGTACATTTTTTCAGTTTAAACATTTAATATGTTTCTAGGTCCTATTGTGGATAAAATATGGATTTAAGAGACTTGCAGAATCATTGCATTCTCTTTTTATTTACAAGAGAATATTTACTTTTTACACAGCATCCCAGCTTTTTCAGAACTGGGTACATGTGCTTAATTACACATCCACAGACTTTGAATACAGGCTGGCCAGGTGGATATTACCCCACAAAAGTCAGACAACATCACAAAACTTTTTTTCCCCCATGGAAACATAAAAATTTTAATGTTACAATACTTTTAGTAGGTATAATGTACAAGAGCAGTGGCCCCTTGTGCAAAGTTTTGTCTTATATCTTACTAAAACTCTTAAGATAATTTCTCTTTCTGTATCTTTCTGAATGGCAGCACCAGCGTGCCTGTACAATCTAATCACAGCCTCTTGAAACGTCCTTAATGTGATTGTCTAAGGAGAGGGAGGAAAGAATGTGTTGTGTCGAGAGCAGTCTGTCATCCAGTAATCGGACACTCTGCATACAAAGAGATAGACACATGAATTTCATTTTTCATATACTGCTGGCAACCAAAAAGTCAACAGTGCTCCATAATACACACACATACACACTCTTATTAAATTCACTAACTGGAAATCTGTCTCAGATACTATTAGTCACACTAATTTCAATGAGCTGGGTCTAAACTTATTTGATTCAAACAGAAAGATTTGTGCAGACTTGAAGGTGAAGGGCTTGTGAATGTTACTGAAGTGAGTCAAGCACCGCTGGTATGTGGCTCCGATCTGCCCCGCACCAGGAGAGATTTCTTACTATGGCAACAAGCGACATTTAGGGACCATATCTCAAAGGCTCATTGTACAGACACTATGGTTAAATGTACATTATTTAGCACAACAGTTATGAAAAAGCCTATCAATCAACAATCTATCCTAATGTTATGGAACAAAACTGAACATAAAAATCTGGAGTGTTAGAGCAGATGGGATGATCCTAGTTGGAATGTAGCCCATCAATTAGGGCATAGGACAGTAACGACTATTGAAACAGGTCTTTGTCCTAGAGCGCCTCGGACATTTGTTAATGACAGAGATGTTCTGCCAGCACGAATTCATGCAATTCACTTGTCTTGAAGTCAGAAATACTTTAAGTTTTGTTCTTGTTGGAAACTAGATGATGGATATATTCAGGTCTAGCTGTACTATTCTGCACTGTGTGGTGTCATCCTGCACTGAAGTATATGCACCCTTTGTGTGCTTTTAATTGTCTTTTTTTAAAGGGTAAAACTAAAAAATGATTGAAGCCCTCAGCTTTTTATTGCCCTCCCACACTTTCTTGATCTCTTCCAGAATCTGAAGCTGATATGTGATATGTGTCAAGTATTAGCAAACGGTAGATTTAGAAAGACAGCAAATGGAGAGAAACCCGAGCCGAACAGCTAATCGCACACAGCCCAGCTATGAAAATCTGTATCTGTGTGTGTGTGTGAGAGAGAGGAGTATGGGAGCATCTATTTTTGGTATGCTTAGTTTTTATGTACTTAGGGGGAAGTAAAATGGCATCAGAAGATTTAAACTTCAGTGGTTCTTAGAACTCTATTGTCAAACAAATACATTTCCAAATCAGCTTCTGGACTTCATCTGAGTAACCTTAATGCCTGACTTTGAATTTGTTTTTAATAACATATAATTTGCACAATAATAAATAATGTGCAAAGGTCTCATTGCCTATCATTTCATCACCGCTCATCACTTTACAAGGAGTCAAACTTTCTTGTCATATTTTAAGGTGGCCTTGAACGATAGCTCTCCAGGCTTTTTGAAGCTCTTTCAAAGTTTTCCTTTGGACATTGGTTCATTTGTCATTTAAAACCGACCTATGAAACATTGAAAATTCTTTAGCCGAATCTGTGAAAAATGCCAAAGGTAACACAGTTTGACAGGCATAAAGTAGTATTTTTGTATCAGTAAGGTGTCTTGATGCTCAATCATCCAGGTAAGAAATTCCCCAAAAGTTGATCCTTGAATAATGATCAAGGAAATGACCTCCCAGCCCACTGTTCCTTCAGTGGTGCTAGTTTCAGTCATTAATGTACTGTTTATAAGATTGAGGAAACTTGCAGTCAGCTGAGACTGAAGAAGTCACTTAGATGAGTTACGAAACGTTTCTCCCACTGAAAACACAACGTCCACATGGACAGAATTAACTTTTGGCGATATCAGGAAGGTGGTTCCCAAAGAGCTGTTAGCTGGAAATTTGGCATATCAATGTGACCTTAAAAAACATGAGGAAACTGGATAAGTGGAGGACAAAAGAAGATGTTGCAGGCCTAAAACATTATCTAAAAAGTATCTGACAACAGCTCTAATGAAGTGATGAGTCCAAATTAGAGAATTCTGATAATAAAACAGTGTACAACAGCGAGTGTCTCCAGACAGCTGTAAAACCAGTGGTGGTGGAGATCTTATGAAAATTAATGGAATTATGAATACTGATAAGTAACATCAGATTTTGATCTACCTTCTAATACCATTTGGAAAGCCTCTGAGTGGCAACTGCCTCATTTTTAAGCGTGGAAACGATCCCAAACACACTGCCAACAGTAAAAGCATACAGTACTCGGATAGAAAAACACACGGTGGCCTCGCCAGAGCCCAGACCTCAACATTATTGAAGCAGTGTGGGATCATCTTGAAAGAGCAGTAAAATAGGAAAGCCTACAAAGAGCCAAAAAAGAGCTTTGAAAGTCCTTCAAGAAGCCTGGAGAAACTGTCCTGAAGACTACTTAGATAAATTACGAGAAAACTTGCTTAACAGAGTTCAGGCTGTGTTAAATAATAAAGGTGATTATACCAGGCAATGACTTTCAAGCTCATTGGAATTGTACAAAATCTGTTTTTGCCTTAGCTCAGAGATCTACTTAAGTGACACGTTACTAAGCCTAAATAAAACTGTGATGCAGGGAATATTTACATTTCTAATCTGGATTTTTAAGGCTGTTTTTTCATATTCACAGATATTGTAATGTACTACAAATCAAAGTCTTGCAGTGTATTGTGATGCCATCATTATCTTGGGCAGACAGATTTAAAAGCACCCTACCTGCGCTCTACAGAGGCTGTATTAAAGCACTCAGGCTGTGATTCCAACACTACAAAGATGTAAAATCAGTGTAACCCTTCAAATTACTTCAGGTTCAGTAGGAGCAAAGTAGCAATGGGAATTTCTAGAGTAGAGAGCACCATGTGTGAGAATATTATACAAATAACCGCTCATTTAGTTGAATGTCTTTAAATTATTTATAGATGTTTCTTGTTGCTGCTGTGGAAGACAGAATACCCTCACTCTGATAAGAGTCACCTCCACATTTTAGTCACATCTGAGTGCTCCTTGTTGCTGCACAGTGGGCTAATCGCTGCTTAATTCAGAGGTATTTCTGAAATCACATGCTGTTCTTTCCCAACTATGTTCTACTTTTATTGTAACAGTTGTACTTGCACTTTTCACCGTACACTTTTACACATGCAGGTGTTCAGTGATAAATCTATCTGAAATGAAAACGTCACATTTCTCATTTTTACTACCACAACCAAAAGTGTCATCCGGATCCAACTTTGACTCAACACAAATAACATCTCATAAATATAAAAAGACAACCAAAAATATACACAAGGAGACATTTTTCCTTTCTTTGTTACCTATACACAAACACAAACACACGTGAAAATGTCTACCTTTCTGTTTCATGGTTTCTGTTCTTCTGCGCTGAAGTTCACGGCGTGAGTGAGGAGAGGCACTAACTGGACTGCTGGTCCAAGAGAAAGGGGTGGTTCCACAACACAGAGGCCAGGGGTGTGTGTTTGTGTGTGTGTGGTGTGTGTGTGTCAATGACAGAGGACAGCAGGACTGCCATTAAATTCTCTTGTGCTTCTAATCTATGACCTCATCCATACCGAGGGGGAGAGTATGTGAATGTGAGCTCACTGCAACGATGTAATTGTTTCTCTGAAATATAACGCTGCTGCACTTGTGTGTTATTCTGAAGTATTGGTGTTGGGGTTTTCTTTTAGAGGGAAAAACATACAAACTTTTCTATGTCGGCATTACATAAATGATGATCATATATCAGGATTACTTGATTGTTTTCGAAAAACAATCACACTGGTGCAGCAGCTGGGACTGTCAGATCATTCTGGGACTGAACGTTCCTGGGGGATCTCTGCATGCCTGTTTGGCTAATAGTTTATTTTAAATTGGCTCTTGTGTTCAGAAAAGTGCATTTTTGGCACCAAACTCTTATTTTGCTTTTGCGCTTGGCTGCAAAAGCCATGCCTCATTGTCCATTTGCACTGTGAAGCAATGTCCAAATAATTTTGCAGCATTTGTCTGAAACCGAGCAGAGAGCATAGTCCTGTGTACTTCAAAATTTATCCTGCTTCTTCTGTCAGCAGATACATCATCAATAAACACTGATCACCTCGTTCCACTGCCAGACGGACATGCCCAGATTTTGTTTCCAGAACTGTTCGAAGTCTGTTTGATGTTTTCTGGCAAAGGCTTCAGATGTTTAACCTTTTCTAAAACCAACTAATAATTCTGTCATTATACTCTTTAGCTGTCTTCTGTGATGTTTCAGGACTTTCTTGTGTTGCTCAATAAACTTCAGCTTCAAGATGTGCACAGCAAGGGTTGTGCAGACTTATGATGACTGAAACTGTGATGCATGCAGTCATCATGAGTGCATGTAGACCTCAACCCTATGGACAATTTGTGAACTACGCTTAAAAGCCGTGTCTGTGCCAAGAAACCAATTGATTTAACTCTACCTATTCTATCAGTCAAATATTCAGCCAGAATTGTGTCAGAAGTTTGTTGATGGATACCAAAAGCATCTGATCCAAGGTACAACTTGCTAAGGGACATTTAACTAAATATTAGTTAGGGGTTTATGTCTGTATCTATAATTTTGACCCAGTATGGATTAGAGAAAACGTTATACCACTTTATAAACTTGAGGGAAATATCAAGCAGCAGCTCATTTTTCAAAAGATACGACCAATAGCTAACACCTAATGAAGTAACGAGTCATTACCTGACAGCTCTGCAGGTATACCTGCCAGCTTTTCACACAGAATGTAGTCGTTAGGGTTGAGGAACGGTAGCTGCTCCATTATGGACTGCTTTGGAATCAAGTAGAGAACCTCTGCGAGTTGACCGTCTTCAATTATTGACATGCGCCTGACGGAGTTCTTCCTCTTCACCCGGTCCAGAACTATCACGTCGTTGCTGTGGCTGGAGCCGCAGATCTTGCCCAGGTTGCTGAGGTTGAGAAGGCTTGACACGCTCATGTTGTCGAGACTTTCAGCCAAACAGTTCAGGCTGAAGACTGACTGCTGGTTAGAAACCATAAAGCAAACTTGAAGAGGTCAAGCCCTTGTGTGGAATGTCAGGTATTAAATCGACTTTGTGAGTCAGCGTTAGTGTGTGTTGTCCATCAGGCAGTCGCAGACTAACTCCCACCGCACACCCCTTAAGAAGCTTAGGTGAGGTGTATTTTTAGGGTTGATCCTCACAGTAACAGAGGATCTCAGCTCTTGGAAGTCTCTTTCAAGTAACCTTCTCTCCGTTTTAGTAACACTGACTTCACACAAGTATGTCAGCATTCGAATCTTACTTTTCTACTCAATTGGGGCAGTTTTTTTAAGAAGATTATGAACTGTATGCCCGTATTTGAAGCTTTGAAAAAAAGGGCCATCCATATCTGTACAAGTCAGTCTGTTTGATGGTTGGACGGATTATGGCTGAACTAAAGGACAGCTGGACACAGACACACATGTACATGTAAATGATATTCACTAACCTTATAACACCGTTTAACCCACCTTACTCATGCTGTCTCAGCTTTGCTATAATCTAACCAGCAGATGAATGAAGCACAACACAAGTGACTGAACAGTAAATGTGACACAGCAGATCCAGAACAGTACGATTGTTACATCATCTGCAGGATTGTTTTTCTTATCAAAAGAGAAGAAAATGCATCTTATTTAATTTATTGTTATTATGACTGATTTAATCTGGTTACAGCTGCACAGAGGAATGAATTGAAAATCTTCAAATGTTGTCAGATTCACCAACTTTACTTCTTCCTCCTGTCATACTCCTTGATACTGTAAGTTATAACTCAAGAATCAAAAGGCATTTTGCACAAGTATTTGCGTTTAGATTTTATTTAGTAGCATTGATGTTTTGTCTTTTAGAAATGGAAAAAACTTGTACAAGACCGAGTATCACTGGACCAATACAAATGGAAAACGGAATTAAATACGCCGATGTCACTAACAATATAAAAAGTAGTAGCATGTCCAGAATTAGGCGGCATGGGGAAAATCAGTGAACGCTTTAAAGACTGTGGTATTCACTGAAGAGGGTGTGCTGCTATTTATCTGCAGCTATTTTAACCAAGGCCACATTCTTACAGGTGTTGACAGTTTGATGGGTGTGATATGAAGTACTGTTATTCTGCCTACCTCCCCCAAAATTCCCACAATCACTTATAATAAAAAAAATAAAATAAAAAAAAAAAAAGGGCCCACTGCATATTTGGGGATTAACAATAAAATTCAAAAGGTTAAAATACGGGAAACATCCAACTGAGGTGAAAATCCTGCAAAGAGAAAAGTGGACTCTTCACAATCCCATGATCTTGATACAAACTGTACATGTGTGAGGAGCGCCACCTAATGGCTGTTGTGTGTTTAACATGCACTCATAAAAGAGACTACAACCGAACGCTCCACCTGCAGGTCAAGTTGACGTGCTGAAATCGCAACTTTGCAAGAACATCTTTAACATGTTTGTGTGAAGAAAAACATTTTGTGAACACTACTTACATGATCACCATTTATGTTGCATATTTCAATAAACGCAAGTTCTGATGACTCTTTTCTAAATCTGTTTTCATGAAACCAAATGTGTGAGAGAAATAACTCTTTCTAGCAGTTATAAGCACCACCGTGTGTAGCAGCTAGGTGCTGATCGTGTCTGTCATGTGCTGTGTTTGTGGTCACTGTGAGGGAAAACAAATTAAGTTTCAAGTTGCACAGATAAAATACTAAACTGAAATGATAGAAGTTTGGAAAGCAGCAGAATTACAAGAATCTCACTGTTGTTACAAATAAAATTTAGTAACTGCAGGAATTTCCACACAATTATTTATAGCAGTAAAGTCATAGTCACAACAAGACTGACAAAATGTGTTTCAGTGTTTGTAATAAATTTTTAACACAAAGTTAAAACTCGAACAGAAATCTGTAACTTACAAAAGTATTCAGACTGTTTGGTTTTGTGTTACCATCATCAGATAGATCCCTTTTTCTTTAATAATCCTGGAAATGTTTCTAGAACCTGAGTGAAATCCACCAGAGGGAATTTAAAACATGGTTTATAACTGTAGATTTTTTAAAGACATTTTTTATTTTTAAAACAACTTCTGAAGCAATCAGGAACGATTTGACTTAAAAAAAAAAAACATGACATAAAGGACCTGATTTGGCAGGACTCGTCGTATGCTTTTCTTGCAGGAAGGATCTCGGTCAAAGAGGCGACCAAGGACCTGAGACTCTTTTAACGGTAGTTTGGTTATCTGTGAGATGAGAGAAGCCCAGGATATCCATCTCAACAGCACCTTACTAATCGCCTTCACGGCTGTGCAGCCACATGGAAGTTACTCTAACTAAAAAGGCATAACAGATTCATTGAGCTTCCAAACGGCAAACTTTCTCAAAGGAAAGGAAAAGATAATCTAGCCAACACCAGACATGACTCATAACCTGCTCAAAACTTCACTGTAATCCCTACAGTGCAGCATGATGGTTGTATGATAGGGATACTCGTCAGAGCTGCTGAAAACTTAATGAATGGCATGAAAAAGGAAAAGGAAAGGTCTTGAATACCTTCTGAGTTGACTGCATTACTCAAAAACAGCAAGAATAATGCTCAAATAACAAAAAACTGTGTAAATGAAAAGCTTAAGAGTTAATAGAACGAGAGTGAACAGCATCACCATCTTGCTCATTTGGCTCTTCCTCTGCCTGGGTGAGCGGGTCTCGGTCCGGGTCTCTCTGCTCCTGCCCTGACTTCTTGGTTGTCTTGTTCAGGGTCCCACCCTGTAGGGACAAAAAAAATAATAATTAACTTCCTGCTAAGTGTGTGTATAGAGTATAAACTCATGAGATAACTTCTACAGATGTCTGACCTGTCTGTGATCAACAACATTAAGCAGCACTGAGGTCACAATGCAGCTGATGGTGTTGGCCAACATGAAGATCATCATCCTCTGCCAACGCCACAGCGGGATCTTAGTTTCACTGCAACACAAATGGAGAAACTGCAGAGCTAAACAAGACTGGAAGGACAATTAGTGCACGGCAATGAGATTCTAATGTCAGGTTCTCCCCACCTGGACTTGGTGCCTAGTATTTGTCCAACAACGAGATTGGAGATCCCGATCCCAATCATCTGTACGGAGGTGGCCAGGCCCATGGCAGTTCCCAGAGTCGCCTGAGGTACGACAAGGGGAATAGACGGCCACATGCTGGCCTGGAATGCCACACAGGCAGCAACAAGTTTAACATACTAGGAAATACATTAACTCATAGTAATTATTAACCATTTTACTGATGTCTATTTACTCACAGCAGCAAAGGAGTAGGTGACTCCCAGCCATATGGTTGAAACCAGAGGAGGGACAAAAGTGAAAGCCAGGAGTCCAAACACGGGCAGCGTGAGGACAGCGCACGCCACTGCGAAGACTCCTCGCAGACCCACATAATCCTGAAACGCATGGCAGCGAGAGTGTTTCATGATAAACCAACTCAACTCAACGCAGGAATACAATTTGGTGTAGACTAAAGATACATACGATGAGAATGCCCACGCTGGCTGAGAGGACCAGTGAGCTGTCATAGACTGCTCCTGCAATATAAGCCGCCTCCTTCTGGCTGTAGTAGCTGTACTTATCCTGGATGAACTTGCTGGCAAATGAAAAAAATAAATGGCAGATGTGAATGCTTATGACACCAGTATCACTTTGGTGCTGGTCTATTCAAAGGAATGCAGGGTTATAATTCACTGGTTGCTCTGAAAGTGGTGTGTAAAGGTGTTTTTTTTTTTTGTTTTTTTTGCATCTGTCGCATTTAAATGTTTCAGATCAAACAAATGTAAATATATTACAATCCAAACCTACATGGCCCTGTGTGAAAAAGTAATTGCCCCTAAATCTAATAAGTGGCGGGGCCACCGTTAGCAGTAACAAATTCACTTAAGCGTTTGCGTTAACTGGCAATGAGTCTTCACAGCGCTGTGGAGGAATTTTGGCCCATTCATCTTTGCAGAAATGTTGTAATTCAGCCACATCTGAGGGTTTCCAAGCATGAACTGCCTTTTTAAGGTTATGCCACAGCATCTCAATCAGATTCAGGTCAGGACTTTGACTAGGCCACTCCAGAGTCTTCATTTTGTTTTGTTTTTTTCCAACCATTCAGAGGTGGACTTGCTGGTGTGGTTTGGGTCACCCAGGTGCCCTTCAACTTGAGGTCATGAACAGATGGCCTGACATTCTCCGTCAGGATGTTTTGATAGACGTGCCACACGGTTCCATTTACCACAGCGTGTCTTCCAGGTTCAGAGGCAGCAAAACAGCCCCAGACCATCACACTACCACCACCATATTTTACTGTATTTTAATGTTCCTTTTCTAAAATGCTGTGTTACTTTTATAAAAACGTCTGGAAGTAATCAGGCCTGGGTGTGGCTAGAGAAACTAAACTCAGCTTTCCAAAGATTTGACACACCACAGTTAATTCATCTTATTCTAATAAAAACTTTGGCATGATCTAGTCAAAGACCTGACCTGAATTCGATTGAGATGCTGTGGCATGATCTTAAAAAGCTGGTTCATGCTGAAAAACTCTCCAGAGTGGCTGAATTACAACAATTCTGCAAATGGGCCAAAATTCCTCCACAGCGTTGTGAAGACGCATTGCCAGTTATCGCAAATGCTTGAAAACGAACAAACAAACAAAAAAACAAAAACAGGAAATCAGGCAGGAGGAAACCATTTTTTTCACGTCACTGTATTTCATCAGTATGCACACACTTTATGTCAAGAACTCTACCTTGCATCAGCAATGAAGGGGAAGATGCCATTGTAGAAGAACATGATGGTGAGAACCAGCAGCCAGTATGTTACTGACAGGAGCTTCACATCCTGAATCCTCTACACATAAAAAACACACAACAATAAGTGATGCTCCACACACAGATCACTAGTGTGTCCATAATACTGAAAAAACAAGGTTTAAATCATTAATGTTACGTATGCATAGGGATGGGTACCGGTATCCGGTGCCATGATGTCACCGGTTCTGACATAAACAGTAGTAACCAGACCGAAAAGCAGCGCACATTTCGGTGCTTTATTTCGGTGCTTTTTTTCCTGAGCTGTGATACACTTTAGATTCTAGCCAATCATTTTACGTTTCCGAGGATAGTAGGCGGGGCCAGGTACGTACGTTCTGTTAGAGCAGAGCTACAGATTAAAAATGTCCAAGGCGAAGCGGTCAAAAGTCTGGCTGTACTTCACAGCAAAAGATGCAAACTCAGCAGCAACAAGTGCTTTAAGCTGATACTGTGATACTGTCAAAGGAGGTAACACCTCGAATCTGATGAAACACCTGGCGACGCATAGCGTTTTTTTTAAAAGCCGAGAAATGCGCCGTATTTGATAGCTTGCTGCGAGACCTCACACCGAGCACATCTACTGCGGGTGGGTTGCCTGTTATCGGACCCGGAGTTAGCAACATCCCCCAAAAACCCGAAGAGGAGAGTCCTGGCCCCTAGCCCTGCCAGTGTAGCAGAAATGATGACGGATGATGATGGCAGCAGCAGCCGTTCTTCTCTGCGTGAGTAGCTTAATGTTGTTCGTGTGTAATTTACGTTGAGTAGGCTAACCACGTTATTACATTAATGCATGTAAGGTGAACTAGCAAACACCATCATAGTTACATGCGGCTGTCTTCTTGTTTGATGGCAGATACTCCCTTCACCCTGGCCAAAAAGGCTAAAATGACCAAAGAAAAAGTGGAAACAGCTAAACATGAGAGGTTTTTGGACAAAGTTTGTGTTTTTTCCATTGTTTAAGCACTGCTTCCAGCCAAGAGTGATGCCATATATGCCCTATAGCTGCAGAAAAGGCTAACATTGTTATCTTTTTACAAAAAACAGCTGAACATGAGAGGTTTTTGGACCAATTTTGTGTTCTTATTCTTTAAGCACCGGTTCGAGCACCGGCACCGTTTCAAAAGTACCGGTTTGGTACTGGTATCGGATGAAACCTAAACGATACCCATCCCCATGTATACATGTTGTTATTATTAAAGGATATTGATCGTACCACTTTGCGAGACTCTTCTTGGATGGCTCCATCGAGACCCAGCTGTCTCATTCAATCTTGTCCAAGGTGCTGACAATGACAGCAGAAGTGAAGCCCAGCACACACAACAGTGCGCCTAAGAAACAATAACATGAGAAACCCAGGTCACATGGCACCACACCATAATCCTTGAGATTTCTTCGCATTCGTCACCTACCACCCCAGAGTGTCCACTGCATGCCATATTTTTCTTCAAACTTCTGCGTGAGGAAGAAGTTCAACACCGAGCCCAGCCGCGAGAAGGCCAGGGTCAGGCCGAAAGCCAAAGCCAACTCCTTCCCTTTGAACCAGAAGGCTGTGATGCGATTCTGAACAACTAATGAAGAAGGTAACTGAGCAGTTAAGAAATGCTCCTCAAAGGTGATGCTGCAGAGAATATTTGTTCGTATCCATGAAGAGAACTTACTAGTCAGAGATCCATTGCCTGATCCAAACAGCAGACGGCCGGTGAGCATTAGCGGCAGCAAGTAGGGAGATCCCTTGAAGTGGGAGCCGAGAGCAAACAGCGATGAGCCCAAAACACAGAGAAAAGAGAAGAGAAACACACCGACTGCAAAGAGGAGCAAAAGAAATGGTTGTACCATCATTTTACTGTCAGTAGATTAAAAATAACTGCAGACCATGCAGAGAGAAAACATAAAACAAAACTTACAGCGATTTCCTAATTTGTCAATCAGGAATCCAGCCAGGATCACCACTACTGCATTCCTGTTGATAACAGAGAGAAGCTTCTCATTGAAAAGCCACTTTTCTGCATTTTCACAGTGAAATCAATGCATTAACGTGCTTACGTCCAAGCATAGATGGCATAGAGAAGATTGTACTGCTGAGGGGTCATCCCCAGTCCCTCCACACAGTCCACTGTCCCATTGATCACCGTTGCATTGGGACACGTCAGGTTCTGTCAAAAAACAACAGTCAAACATTAAAAACAACATCAGTCTTTCCCTCCTGATAATCAAGTCGTGCAATATTGATGTGATCTGTAAGCAGCGCTGCCTCTTGCTCACCCCTTGGAACTGATCCTGTAACACACTGGGAATGTCGAAGCAAAAGTAGGACCCAAAGGTCAGCAGACAGTTAAAGAAGAGCACCACAAAGCGATAGTATGCTGCAAGACAGTGACGCACAATAAAGAAAGGGCAACATCAGGTGATTTAAAAGTGCAGCAGCCAATATAACAAATATTTTATTATGTCTGAGGATATTTTTGGTTTTTAACAAAGTGCTACTGTGCGACCTGGCACTGTTTTTTGTTTTTAAAGGAGGAAAAAATATATGTAATTCTTCTTGTTCTGTACAGGTAAGCGTATGAATCACGAAGAACAGAGTGGAGAATTATGTGTGCTAATTACGCACAGAGCGAACTGAGTTTCGTGTTCAGCCAACTTCTCCTACAGTCACGAGCTCTTTTTGTGACACTGGAAGTATAAAATGCTGACTTGGTCACTAAGAGGCTTTTTTTAGGGAAGCGTCTGCAGGGTTACAAGCAGAGGTCTTGGTCAGCTCAGTAAAATATGCTGGCTTGCTGTGTTTTTAATAAATAACTTTGTAGTGACACGTACCTTTCTCCGCCGGCTGCGCCATCGTGTTAGCTGTAAAACAAAGTGTCAAAAACCATATCCTTCACTGTTGTTTACATGAACATAGTTAGCGACTGCTACGCTTCTTCAGCAGCTGACGTCGAGAAACCGCAGATCTTAAAACCACATGGATGGAGCTGCTGCCGTAAATATGAACACGTAATGACGTACGGCACGTTTACGAAGCAGCGGAGACCGGAAGTACCCCGCTTTTTTTCTTTCTGGAAGCTTTATTGACAAGTAAACGTTTACATCCAAAAATAGGCGGAACATTTTCAGCAAAATTACTATAATAATTACAAAAAATAGTTTATTCAATCTATTTAATTCTTTTTTTTTTTAAGGAATAACACAATTTTTAACTGTTTGTTGCAAAGATTTTAGCCAAGATTGTGGCTATGCGACAGCTCTCCTGGTATGGAGCGCCAGGACTGCCATAATGAATTAATTAAATACACCATTAAATACTTAATTAAATGTGGCAATAAATAATTAAAATTGGAATTAATTAATTAAATAAATAGTTATGACACATGTAATTAATTAATTATTGACACATTTAATTAATTATTGACACATTTAATTAATTATTTAATGGTGTATTTAATTAATTCATTATGGCAGTCCTGGCGCTCCATAGGGCTTGTCACATTCAAAATGGAGATATGTAACAATAAACACTGGTCCCCGTCTTTTGGGTGCTTTCTTGAAATAGTCAGCAATTTAAAAGTAGGGGCATGCGCTGAGAGGTGGTGCTGCACAAGAACAAGAGTAAAATAAAGAAAAATTATTGTGTTTAGCTTTGAGAAATTCAAATTAAAATGTACCATTACACTCAGAGGATCAATATGAAATTCGATATATGCTAATTTTGTATGAAGTACATGACTGATAACTGTTCTGTCCTGAGCTTTTGTTTTTACAGCACCCACTTGACCACACCAACAGTTTCTCGCCACCAAAAGGGGGTACTTGCAAAGAATAGGGAGGAATATCATCAAACTGGGAAAGGTAAGCCCCGAAGGGGGTGATGACACCATAAATTTCACTTATGGTCAAATTCTCAAAATTTGACCCCAAACTTGAAAATTCTTCAAACATTTAGAGACAGAGTGGATAAACATAATGTCGCAAACCACATAAGGATGGAGCATTTGAATCGATAAGATGGTGAAATAACACGCAGTAAAATGTTGATCATGTTGATTATGTTTATTCCAGTGTGCAGAGCAAGGTTATTATCATTAACGAAAACTAACGAAATAACGAAAACTAGAAGTGAAAAAACATTTTCGTTAACGGAAATAAAAATAAAAACAAAAAAAGGAAAACTAACTAAAACTGTAATGAGTGTTCACAAAACTAACTAAAATTAACTGAATTTATAGCAAAAATGTGTTTAGTTTTCATTGATGTGTGCGTGTCCTACAATAGTCAAGGGTGAAAATGAAGTTTAGTTTCCAGATTTTTTCTTGCTGTCTCATTATGCCAGCAGGTGGCAGTACGTTAGTCGAGTCGTCTGTGTTGCTGCTCCGTCCACGCGCAGAATCATGTCAGGAAAAGTCGGGAGAAAGCGCCAGAGTCCAATTTGGGATTACTTTGAATATGACTGTGTTTTGGATAAAGCAAGTGTCTTGTAGTGGAAAGAGACAAATTATGAGGGACATTTACAGTGGGGCAAAAAAGTATTTAGTCAGCCACCGATTGTGCAAGTTCCCCCACTTAAAATGATGACAGAGGTCAGTAATTTGCACCAGAGGTACACTTCAACTGTGAGAGACAGAATGTGAAAAAAAAATCCATGAATTCACATGGTAGGATTTGTAAAGAATTTATTCGTAAATTAGGGTGGAAAATAAGTATTTGGTCACCTCAAACAAGGAAAATCTCTGGCTCTCACAGACCTGTAACGTCTTCTGTAAGAAGCTTTTCTGTCCCCCACTCGTTACCTGTATGAATGGCACCTGTTTGAACTCATCATCTGTATAAAAGACACCTGTCCACAGCCTCAAACAGTCAGACTCCAAACTCCGCCATGGCCAAGACCAAAGAGCTTTCGAAGGACACCAGGAAAAGTATTGTAGACCTGCACCAGACTGGGAAGAGTGAATCTACAATAGGCAAGCAGCTTGGTGTGAAAAAAATCAACTGTGGGAGCAATCATCAGAAAATGGAAGACATACAAGACCACTGATAATCTCCCTCGATCTGGGGCTCCACGCAAGATCTCATCCCGTGGGGTCAAAATGATCATGAGAACGGTGAGCAAAGATCCCAGAACCACACGGGGGGACCTGGTGAATGACCTGCAGAGAGCTGGGACCAAAGTAACAAAGGTCACCATCAGTAACACACTACAACGGCAGGGAATCAAATCCCGCAGTGCCAGACGTGTTCCGCTGCTGAAGCCAGTGCATGTCCAGGCCCGTCTGAAGTTTGCCAGAGAGCACATGGATGATACAGCAGAGGATTGGGAGAATGTCATGTGGTCAGATGAAACCAAAGTAGAACTTTTTGGTATAAACTCAACTCGTCGTGTTTGGAGGAAGAAGAATACTGAGTTGCATCCCAAGAACACCATACCTACTGTGAAGCATGGGGGTGGAAACATCATGCTATGGGGCTGTTTTTCTGCCAAGGGGACAGGACGACTGATCCGTGTTAAGGACAGAATGAATGGGGCCATGTATCGTGAGATTTTGAGCCAAAACCTCCTTCCATCAGTGAGAACTTTGAAGATGAAACGAGGCTGGGTCTTCCAACATGACAATGATCCAAAACACACCGCCCGGGCAACAAAGGAGTGGCTCCGTAAGAAGCATTTGAAAGTCCTGGAGTGGCCTAGCCAGTCTCCAGACCTCAACCCCATAGAAAATCTGTGGCGGGAGTTGAAAGTCCGTGTTGCTCGGCGACAGCCCCAAAACATCACTGCTCTCGAGAAGATCTGCATGGAGGAATGGGCCAAAATACCAGCTACTGTGTGTGCAAACCTGGTAAAGACCTATAGTAAACGTTTGACCTCTGTTATTGCCAACAAAGGTTATGTTACAAAGTATTGAGTTGTATTTTTGTTATTGACCAAATACTTATTTTCCACCCTGATTTACGAATAAATTCTTTACAAATCCTACCATGTGGATTCATGGATTTTTTTTTCACATTCTGTCTCTCACAGTTGAAGTGTACCTCTGGTGCAAATTACTGACCTCTGTCATCATTTTAAGTGGGGGAACTTGCACAATCGGTGGCTGACTAAATACTTTTTTGCCCCACTGTATAAAGGGAAAAAATCCCACAAACCTTAAAGTGCACTTGAAAAGCTCACACAAGAAGGCTAACCTAGCTTACCTTGAGAAGGTAAGGGAGCACACTCAACCCTCATCCCCAGAAAACAGAAGCTAACCCCAGGCAAGGCAGCGTGATGCATCCCGAGACAACAGGACGGGGATATCTACATAACTGTGTGAGTCAATTGCCTTCAAAAAGTTTATCAATTCACTTGAACCAAAATTACGAACACCCGGTGCTGCAAGAGTTAATAGTCTCAATACCCAAGGATAAGCAGAAGAGCATGACTGATATGATGAAACTGGGATTTTGTTACACTTAATTATTGCAAACACAACTAAAACTATAACTGAAACTAATCAAAACTAGACTAAACTGAAACTAAGGATTTTCAAAAAAACAAAAACTAAACTAAACTAGCAAACAATTAATAAAAACTAATTACAACTGATATAGTCAAAGGAGCTTGCAAAGAAAAGCGTCTGGACTTCTTTAAGTTGCTTGAAGACGTTTCACCTCTCATCCGAGAAGCTTCTTCAGTTCTAAGGTCAAATGGTGGAGAGTCCCAGATATAAACCTAGTGGGAGTAACCCCCCACAGAGGGACAAAAGGACCCCCTGATGATCCTCTAATCGCCTGAGCCAAGGTGTGAAACTGGGTGTGGGTCCCAATCAGCCAGAGTTTCACACCTTGGCTCAGGCGATTAGAGGATCATCAGGGGGTCCTTTTGTCCCTCTGTGGGGGCAAAACCCTTGTGCTCTGGGGTTAGGCCCTTAGCTTTGGGGAGGGTGGGTTTCGCGAACACCACCGTCTGTGAGGAACCCAGTACCTCCTACACACACACACATACAGGAGGCAGTGAGGAGTAGAAGGAGGTTGTTGCTACGCCTGCGTCGCGAAACCAGGGCTCATTGTGTGTGTGCCCGGAGCAGCTACGGGGGAAACACATGGGACAACCGACCAGTTTGGGGCCATGGTTTATTCAACGTGTATTTTCAGTGTGGTTTAACTTGCTAATCTGATCTGAAATACTTTCCTTGAATGTGCCTTAATTTCACCTCTTTTTTCTTTCTTCTTTTCTTATGTTACGGATTCAAATATTGGGGATGGATACAAGAGGAAAAACCACAATAACAACACTGGTCCGGCCGGGTTGAGTCAAACGATGATTTTAATGATCACACGCGTGGGAGATGGACGTACGCAGACAGCATCAGATCTCAAAATGGTGGAGCATTGATCAAACTCTTATAGCCTCTAGTGGCCCCCACCTAATCATAAAAGCCTAAACATTCACATTCTTTCTCTCACACAGCGCCTAAGCTACGACCTTGGCTCCCTGTTTATCTGCTCCTGCTGAGATGGGGCAGAAAACCTCTCCAGTATGTTCTGTTCTCTTCTAATCAGACAAATAAGGCGATGACTTTCTGCGAACAGTATTTCTTATAACTCAGCAGTATAATGCATCATAAAACAATATCATTCATTCACAATAAATCAGCAGTCTAATGTAATGCAAATCAGTTTAACAAATGCAATAGTTATCCTTCTTCTAATTCAGGAGAATAATGCAAACTAAAACTACATAATAATTCACAATCTTTAATTAGGGGTCTAACATGGCATAAAATAATATTATAATCCCACATTAGCTTACTGAAAATGTTGGCGACCAAAGGCCGGATCCAGGGATGTGTGCTGCTTGTGGTACTCGCTTTATGTGGACAAACTGCTTGCTGTCAACATCAATACAAAGATAACAAAAGAATAGCCTAGTGTAACGTAGTGTTTTATTTTTTTTTTCTAGAATGATTCAAATGTTACTATCATTTCCCCAACCCCGCAGGCTCTGCGACCCGTG